GGTTTAAAATGAACAGACGAGATTCAGCCGTAAATCGATTCTTCCCATCCAACGACGCAAAAAAATATTCAACAAGTAACAAACTTTATGTTCAAAGGAAATACAGTGTAACCCGGATATAAGAGACCCGGATATAAGAGAAACCCGGATATAAGAGAGAGTTTCTCTGGTCCCAAATTAGAGCCTGTGTTAATGTATATAAAATAGACCAAACCCGGATATAAGAGAAACCCGGATATCAGAGACTTCTTCTCCGGTCCCGACAACTCTTTTATATCCGGGTTACACTGTATATTCGCTTCAATAAGAACCTTATTGTCTATGATTTAGATAACGCTTTTCAGAGCTAATTTATATGTTGATTCAAGTACGATATATACCAAATATTTAAGAGAAATTACAAGGTATATAAAACCTCTTCTTTATAAAATTCAAGAACTAGACTATCATTGACTAAGGTTATATTGTCAATTTTTTTTTTTAAGTGTTGACAATTCTATGTATGTGAGAATTTCGAATTATTTTTTTTTTAATCCGAAATTGTTGTATGAGTTTTTCTATCTAAAGAAAAAAATGATTATAAATGTTAATTATCAAAACATCAGCAACACATTAATAAATATAGTCAATTAACTGAATATTAATTTAATGATGGTGAAAAGATATTTCCTCAAATAATGATAAAAGAAAAATTGAAAGATAAATAATTAAGGACAAAAGGAAAGAAAAAGAAGTAACGTTACGCCACGAAAAGCTTTTCCACAAATTTGAAAATCACTCCCCCTCAATGTTTATGGCACAGGATAAAGCGTATTCAGATAAAACTTTAAATAATTTCAGTTTAAATTAAAATGAAAAATTATTTTATTTAAAGCGTATTTTCCTGATCATTTCTGTGCCGTGTTAAAATAATTTTTTACATACAAAATTCAAATAATTTTATAATAGCCGCGATGTATGAATTGAAATTTTGTATTTTTTTTTTTTTTTTTTAAGCGTTTCACCCAAGCAAGGCGGGGAAGCCACTAGGATGCAAGGGGTTACAGGAAATAGCAAGATCAGATAGGAGTGATAGAAGAAAGGATGAGGGTAGTGGATAGATCAAGGCAACTGGAGATGTCGATTGACATTACACTTGAATAGCTGGAGATTATAGCTCACAGGGAAACAGGAGAAGGGAAGCGAGTTCCACAGGCGAGAGGTGCGAGACATGAAGCTATTAGAGTAGAAGAGACGGCTACATTTAGGAGTTTCGACAGTGAAGGGGTGAGAGCGGGATGCCAGCCTCGTAGGACGCTGGAACTCATGACGTCTGGGAACCAGCAAATGCAGCTCCTCGGAGCAATTTCCATGAAAGTATTTGTAGAACAGACAGACGGAGTCGACGGGGCGTCTGTGAGAAAGTGACTGTAGACGAGACGCCAGGGCAGGGCCAACCACATTGCATATCCGCCTCTGGTGCCTATCAAGAACCCCGAGGCAAACAGAAGGGGCGCCAGACCATATATGGCAGCAATACTCCATGCAAGGGCGAATTGTGGATTTGTATAGCTGGAGGATCGATTCAGGGGAGAAAAACATCCTAGCGCGGCTCAGGGAGCCAACTTTCCTCGCAGTGGACGAGGCAATTGATTCGATGTATTTATTCCATCTCAAGTCAGCAGTCAACGTGAGACCGAGAAGCCGCAGAGAGTTGCTCTCGAGAAGTTGAGCGTCAGACATTCTAATGGAGGGAAGGGAAGGATCTCTGTGGTGATTAATAGAGAGCAGTTTTGTCTTAGAAGCGTTCTATATAGTTTTACATTATATGCGTTTTATATATTTGAATTTTTCATGGTTGTGTTTTACAAGGTATTCGTTTTTGGTTTTCGTTTCTTAAATAATGTAGATGTCGATGGTCAAGACATCGCATACAATGTGAGTACCGTAGAATCTCTCATATCCAGAATCACTCATATCCGGAATCCCTCAGATCCGGAATCCCTCATATACGGAATCCTTCATACCCGGAATCCCGTATATCCGGACATGATTCTGACGTGCATATTTGAACTATGTGGGTGATATGTAAGTGATTTGAAATTTCTGTCTTTCAGGAAATTTACTTTGGATAATTGCTTATGTATATTTCAGCTTAATGAAATGTATTGGTGCAAAAGACGATGGAAATAAGAAGAAAATGACGACTTTGGAGTTATCTGAAAAAGTGGAAATTTTAAACAGACTAGACGCTAATGAAAGTTGATTGTAATATATGGCTGAGTTCAACATAGGTAAGTTAATATTGTATGATATAAAATCTTCCAGAAAAAATATTCTCCAGCGTTCACACTATCACAATGAATAAGGAAATTAAAAAAAATACATCATTGTGATGAAAACTGAACTGAAATTGAAAAATCTATTGAAAAGGGTTTCAATTTTATGGAAAGAAAACTAGCATTCAGTTATGGCGATTGCATTAACGCACGCATAGCTAAAAGGTGTATTTCGTTTAAAAAATTTCAATGACATGCAAAATGAAATGCGGGAAAAGTTGAGAATGACATTAGAACAGAAAAAGTCATCATGCAACAGCGATTAAAAAATCCTCGTTACATTATTTCTTTCGCATACGTGACGTAGTTAATTTAATGAATTTAAGTTAACATTACATAATTTATTTCTTTTTCTTTAAAATCAATTCGGTTATATTTCACCCACCATTAGCTTATTTTATTTGCTATAAAACACTGAAAATAAATGTTAAAACTGATTTCAGGTTCTTTTATTTTAATCTAAATATAACCCCTCATATTGGGACTTTGTAAGCAAATTCTTTATACCCGGAAGGCCTTCTTAGTCCGGTTGCCAGAGATCCTACTGTAATCCGGATACATTATTTTAACGGAGATAGGTTTTAGCCATTTGTAAGATGGAGGTACACTATTTTTTTCGCATTTGACTTTGTGTCTTACTAAACGTGTAAGACATCATGGAAAGTCATATATATATATATATATATATATATATATATATATGTGTGTGTGTGTGTGTGTGTGTGTGTGTGTGTATGTATGTATGTATGTATGTATGTATGTATATAAACTAAAATCCTTATTATCATTATTTCTTTCCATATGCCAAAACATTGTTGAATTATATCTTCATCATGTTTCTGCTTAAGACGTTCTTTTTTTTATTTTTCCCGCCAATTTCTTTCACTCGTTTGTTTACTTCATTTTTTTTTATTTACTTTGTATCTCCCACCATTTTGTGAAACGTTATCTAAATGCAAATAAAACATTTTCAGAAACCGATAGAAAGAAATCTCCAAGGTATACGCAGATAACAACTTCAAATTGAGTTGTAAATTTATTGGAGTTGGGGTGGATAGAAAAGATTTGTTTTCCGTTTGCAAATCTACCGCCTTTTACACAGGAGAAAAATCACCAGCCAAAATGGCGGTTGCCTTTGAAAACAGACGAACATTGCATGCAAATGTCGATGTGATTTCACGGCAGATAAGTGGAGACTGTGTAGCTGTGTGTGTACGTGTTTATTCGTCTTTGTCGGTGAATTTCATAAACACACAAACACACAAAATAAGAGACAGAGAAAGAAAAAATAAGAAAATAACAATAAAGAAATTAAAGCAGGGCAAATGAATAAATAAAATGAGTGGAAATAAAGTGAAAAAATGCGCGGCGAAATAAAATCGGAGATTCGGAGGAAAAGAAAGATAGAAATTCATCAAAAAACTTTAGAAATAATAACAAAACAACGAACGAGAAACAAACAACGGAAAATTATGCAAAGAAAGAATGAAAAAAAGAAAGAAAGAAAGGAAGATTAATTAAGAACAAATGATTGAAAATAGAAGAAAGAAAAGAAGAAAGAATTAAGAATAAATGATTGAAAAGAAAGAAAGAAAGAAAGAAAGAAAGAAAGAAAGAAAGAAAGAAAGAAAGAAAGATGTATTAAAAACAATTGAATGAAAAATCAGTAAGCAATGTATGTATGAATAAAAAGGAAATGAAGAAAACGAAAGATTGAAAGAAAAAAGAAATAATGAATGAAACGTGAATAAAGAATTAAGGAAAAAGAATGAAGAATAAATGAAAATTAAAAAAGAAAGGAGAATTAAGGCTAAATTATTGAAAAAGAAAGAAAGAAAGAAAAAAAATGACGAATTAAGAATGAATTAGTGAAGGAAAGAAAACAGAAAGAAGTAACAAAAGAAAGAAAAAAAGAAAGAAAAATAATTGAAAACAACTGAATGCAAAATAAATAAAGAAAATAGGAATGAAAAACGAAGAATAAATGGTAAACGAATACATAAAGAAAACGAAAGCTAGAAAGAAAAATGAATGAATAAATAATGAATATGTATGAACGGAAAACAATGAAAGAATAAATGGAAATGAAGAAAGAAAGAAAGAAAGAAAGAAAGAAAGAAAGAAAGAAAGAAAGATAGAATAAAGCGGAAATGATATCAGGAAGAAAGAAATAAACAGCCCAGAGAGTCAAAAAAAAAAAGAATGAAATAAAAATGACAAAATCCGGGGAGAAAGAAAAAGAAATTAAACGGAAGATTAAAAAAAAAGAAAAAAAAAAAGAAAGAAAGAAAGACAAAAAAAAGAAAGAAAGAAAAAAGAATAAAAAAATGATATTAAAGAAAAAAAAAACAGCAGGAGAGTCAAAAAAAGAATGTAAATAAAATGAAATTAAGAAAGATAAAAAAATTAAACGGAAGATTAAAAAAAAAAAAAAAAGAAAAAGAAAGAAAGAAAGAAAAGAAAAGAAAGAAAGAAAAAGAAAGAATAAAGCGGAAATGATATCAGGAAGAAAAAAATAAACAGCCCAGAGAGTCAAAAAAGAATGTAAATAAAAATGACAAAATCCAGGAAGAAAGATAGAAAGAAATTAAACGGAAGATTAAAAAAAAAAGAAAAAAGAAAGAAAGAAAGAAAGACAGAAAAGAAAGAAAGAAAGAAAGAAAGAATAAAGCGGAAATGATATCAGGAAGAAAAAAATAAACAGCCCAGAGAGTCAAAAAAGAATGTAAATAAAAATGACAAAATCCAGGAAGAAAGATAGAAAGAAATTAAACGGAAGATGAAAGAAAGAAAGAAAGAAAGAAATAAAGAAAAAATAATAAAAAGATGTTGGAAATATAAAAGAATTAATGAATGAAAATTGAATAAAGACAAAATAAAGGAATGAAAAGAATGCAAAAACATACAAAATAAAGAAAATGAATAAACGAGAAATAATAAAATTGAATGAAAATAAATAAATAATGAATCAATCAATGAATCAATAAGTAAGAATAATTGTAAAATTATAAAATGAATGAAGATACAAAAAAGAAAAGAGAGATGGATTTTCTTTCGTGTCGAAAGAAAAATGTTAAAATAAGAATAAATAAATATATGTTTAAATAAATACGAATAAAGTACAAAATGAAAAAGTTTATAACAAAAGATGTAAGAAAGAAAAATTTATGCAAAATAATAACAACGTCAAACAACAGCGACCACAGCAGCAGGAACATGAAATTAAATCAAAACGTAAAAACAAAAGAAAAAAGACATAGAAAGAAAAAATAGGTGCGATTTTCTCAAAATACTGGTTGTCGGTTCTACCTGGAGACACTTTCAGGACTGGATTAGCTGATTGGATTTAGGGAGAAACAAGTTGTTTCTAGTACGTCGACATTTGGCGCTATACAATCTCATTAATTACACGGATTCTTAGAAGTGAACTGTCGAGAGGAGAATGGAAGATAGATAGATAGATAGATAGATAGATAGATAGATAGATAGATAGATAAAAAATTGTCCATAGATAGATAGATTTCTTGAGAGAGGTGGAAAATAAAAAGAAACAGAATGAAACTGATATAAATATACTAGATAGATAGATAGATAGATAGATAGATAGATAGATAGATAAAAAATTGTCCATAAATAGATAGATTTCTTGAAAGAGATGGAAAAATAAAAAGAAACAGAATGAAACTGATATAAATATACTAGATAGATAGATAGATAGATAGATAGATAGATAGATAGATAGATAGATAGATAAAAAATTGTCCATAGATACAGAGATTTCTTGAGAGTGGTTGAAAAATAAAGAGAAACAAAATGAAACTGATATAAATATACTAGATAGATAGATAGATAGATAGATGGATAGATAGATAGATAGATAAAAAATTGTCCATAGATAGAGAGATTTCTTGAGAGAGGTGGAAAAATAAAAAGAAACAGAATGAGACTGATATAAATATATTAGATAGATAGATCGATAGATAGATAGATAGATAGATAGATAGATAGATCTTAATGGTGAAATCAGCCGTTCCCTCATAAGGAAGCATTCAGTGTTTTTGACCGAAATATTAGTGTCGGTTAAAATTCATAAAATGTCTCTCAAAATAGGTTTACAAGTCAACTGTTATCGCTCTTTCTAGTATTGATAGGAGTTTCCTTACAAACCTTTCGTTTCAGTTCATGTAGAAAGTCAATATGTTGATTTATCATTCTTCTCCTTTCTACTTACATAGGCTATTCATTTTAGCTGCTGCTGTGGTCTTCAAGTAATGTGGATTTTGTTTTGATTTTTGTATTTAGTAAAGTTCTTTGAGACTGTAGTGCCAGCCTATAAGATCTGGTGAATGGTTGTCTTCTTTAGGACAACAGGCTTCATTCGCTTGAAGCCATATTGTTTACAGAGCTGACAAAAAGTTCTGGATATATTTCTGTAAAACTTTTACCACATGCGTAGTTGTAAAGCCGCTAAGACAGAGGATGCTATTGAATGAGAAAGAATAAAAAGAGAGAAATTATTTAGGATCAAAGGCCATAGAAGTGTAATCAGGAAGATATTAGATAACGATTGATATTACATATCAATTTTTGAAGTACAAAGTTGACGGCGAAGCAGTAAGCCGAAAGACAGTTTCACAGACGAGAAGAGCGAGAAATGAATCCGTTAACAGAGAACTTACGGTTCCACCTAGAAAATTCAACAGTAAGTTGATGAGAGCTTGCTACCAACTAGTACTGCGCCAAAATTCATAAATCCTTCTCCAACATTCGTGGTATTCATACCAACTTCAGCAACGTAGAATCGTTCTTTGTCGAAAGGTATCTGGACTTTCTAACTCTCTCGGAGACTAAACTCAACTCTTTTATCCCTTCGTCTGATTTCTAGATTCCTGGTTACTTCCTTATACTTGGAAAGGACTAAAGTCCACATGCATGACCTGGAAGTTTATGTCCGCGAACATCTTTCGCTGGCTAGGGAACCCTGTCTTGAATCTCCAGACCACTTGTATCCGTGCCTCTCTGCTTAACACAGTCAGCTATCTCTTCTTTTTCTACCGTTTCCCTTCCTATCAAGTATTTCCGATAATATAGACAAGGCTTTCTCGCTACACCCGTTTGCAAACATATTCCTGTTCGGAGACGTTAACACCCGCCATACCAGGCGGCTTAAACACTCTGCTACTCACATCGATGGTATTCAAAACGCAAGTGGTGGGTTCACCAAGCGTAACCCTGATGGAAACGCCTTTCTTATCCTTCCCTGTTTTACCTGTATCCCTGACTCTTGTCGTACTACGCAGTTCTGCCCTCTCGGAAATTTTGATCACGCTGTAGTATCTTTAAACATCTTCTTCCGCCCTCGTCCTGCCATGACCCGCCTACAAATAAAATATTTTTTTGTTCTGTCAACGAGAAGATTTGGACTTATTCCGTGATTTCCTTCGAGACGTCCCTTGGATGTGGTTCGAAATCGCCCCATTCAGAAACGCGCTTTGACGCCTCCTCCTGAATGAAAGCCTGCATTGTTGTGTTCCTTCCAACTAGGAAATAACAGGTTAAACCGCGTTAGTCTAATCAGTTCTCCCCTGCTTGCTCGGTCGCTATAACCCACTGAAACTTCTTCCAACTGTACCAGGAATACAGGTCCGATTGCTTGTAACGAATGCAAGCTTGTCCTCAATGAAGCCAAAATACTGTTTGCTGACAGACTGTATCAGCGTATAGCATCTAACATGTTCGATTCAAGAGATTATTGGCGGCTCCGCAAGTGAACAACAGAAAATCTTCAATCCCTCCTCTTTTCAACCAATTCAAAGCCCCGACAATCACAGCAGATAAGGTTGAATGTTTACTCGGAAATATTCATCCAACTCAACAATTTCCCCCTAGAACTGATGCTCTACTGAGTGATATGTGCATAACAAGTCTCGAACATCATTTCTGAATTAGATCCCCATAAGGTAAGTAGAGGTGATGGAATACCAGCCATATTCTTAAAGAAATATGCTCCTGAGGTTGCCCCAGTTCTCGCCAGACTATATAAATATTGACTCGATGCTTCCTGCTTTACAGCTTGTTGTAATTCTTCGTCTGTAGTCCCTGCTTTTAAGAACTCTTCTAACTACTGCCCTATTAGTCTCCAAGCGATTTTCGGCAAAGTCTTCGATTCTTTAATCAATGTTGAAGTGGTTAAGCATCTTATCTCTCAAGACTTACTCAAAATATGGATTCCGCATTGCCCGGTCTACCGTTGATGTGCTTATGGCCATAAATGAATATATATATATATATATATATATATATATATATATATATATATATATATATATATAATGCTCTTGATAATAATGACGAAGCTCGAGATGTGAATCGAGATATCTCGAAGACGTTTGACAGGGTTTGGCATGCTGATCTTCTACGTAAGCCTCAGGGCTACGGTATTACAGGGGGGCGGTTTGATTTACTCCAATCATCCCTATCAAATCGTAAAATTACATCATTTCTAGATTAGACTTACATGAGGCAAGCGGAGGTGACAGGATCCCAGCCATTGACCTAAAGAAATGTGCCCGCGAGTTGGCTCCAGTTCTCACCAAACTTTGCAACTATTACCTCGCTGCTCACTGCTTTCCAGCATATTGAAAATCCTCCTCTGTATTTCCTGTTTTTAAGAACTCTGGAGAAGCTTCTGACTTCACTATCTATCGCCCTATTTGTCTCCTACTTGTCGGCAAAGTATTCGAGGCTTTAATCAATGCTGATGTGGTTAAGCATCTTACCTCTCACGACATTCTCTTAGACAAAAATATTGTTTCCGTCCTGCCCGGTCTACCGAAGACGTGCTTACGGACATCATTTATATATGTATATCAAGCTGTTGATAATAACGGCGAAGCTCGTGCTGTGACTCTAGATATCTCGAAGACGTTTGACAGGGTTTGGCATGCTGGTCTTCTACGTAAGCTTCAGAGCTACGATATTACAGAACGACTGTTTGACATAATTCAATCACGCCTTTCCAACCGTGAAATGAAGGTCGTTCTGACAGGCATGCTTCGAGTTCCTTTCCTATGAACACGTGGGTCCACCAAAGCTCTATCCTGTGTCCTACACTGTTTCTGATCTTCATCAATGATCTTCCTCGTGACATCAGCTCCCAAGTAGGCATCTATCGAGATGATACTACCATTTATTTCTGTTTCAATAATAAACCCAACACTGACGACGTCAACATGGTTGCTATCTCGAAAAGATCCTTCAATCAATCGTTAACTGGGGTAGGAAATGGCTTGTAAATTTTAATGCCTCCAAAACGAAACGGTTCTCATTCAGCATCGCTAGATAATTCCATGTCCGTCATTAGCATGGTTGATGCTAGAATCCAGGAGAGTACCTCACTGCATATTCTTGGCCTCACGCTTTCGAATGACTTGAACGACATTGAATTAATAGCTGCATCTTCTGCAAGGAACGCTGTGCCGTACCAGAAGGTTTTTCTTGTCAAAGTTCGTTTTACATATCTCCAAAGTTACCATTAATCCGTGCATTTAGCACTGTTGCCATTTATGGTCTGCTGGCCCTGCTGTTCATCTCCAGGTTCTCGACAAAATCCAACGAAGTATCTGCAATGTAATAGATCCTGACTTGGCATCTCGATTTCAGTCACTTTCGCACCGACGGATATTGGCTTCCCTTTGTGTTTCCTACAAATATTTTCATGGCAACTGCTTTTTCTAGCTATTTTCCTGGTACCCCAACTGTAGGAATTTAAACGTGCTACGAGACTGAAATCTAGATCCCACCTGGCTACTTTTGAAATAGTTAAATGTAATCACCACATCTTTTCAAGTACTGCCGTTTACTTGCTCCCTGATAACTACTATCTTCAAAACTCTAAATGCAATGTAAATCGTCTTCTTCTGATGTCTTGAAGCCCGTTCATCTTTTATCATTTCTTCATTCACCTTATACGCAGTCTTTTCTCGCATCTTCAGTCTAACCCCTGCGAAGCAGTGGCCTTGAAGATGATACATAGATAGATAGATAGATAGATAGATAGATAGATAGATAGATAGATAGATATGAACACACTCAAATGAACAAATATAGATATGAACACACTTAAATGAACAGAGATAGATAGATAGATAGTTAAATAGATAGATAGAAAGATATGAACACACTCAAATGAACAAATATAGATATGAACACACTTAAATGAACAGAGATAGATAGATAGATAGATAGATAGATAGATAGATAGATATGAACACACTCAAATGAACAAATATAGATATGAACACACTTAAATGAACAGAGATAGATAGATAGATATGAACACACTCAAATGAACAAATATAGATATTAACACACTTAAATGAACAGATATAGATAGATAGATAGATAGATAGATAGATATGAACACACTCAAATGAACAAAGATAGATATGAACACACTTAAATGAACAGATATAGATAGATAGATAGATAGATAGATATGAACACACTCAAATGAACAAAGATAGATATGAACACACTTAAATGTACAGATATAGATAGATAGATAGATAGATACATAGATAGATAGATAGATAGATAGATATGAACACACTCAAATGAACAAATATAGATATGAACACACTTAAATGAACAGATAAAGATAGATAGATAGATATGAACACACTCAAATGAACAAAGGTAGATATGAACACACTTAAAAGAACAGATATAGATAGATAGATAGATAGATAGATAGATAGATAGATAGATAGATATGACCACACTCAAATGTATATCGATAGATAGATATGAATGCACTCAAATGAACAAAGATAGATATGAACACACTTAAATGAACAGATATAGATAGATAGATAGATAGATATGAATAGAGCAAAACTTTTTTAAACAATCTTTCATGTTTTGCATTTCATACGAATAGATTTTTTTTTTTGTTTGTTTCTCTCCGATGATGCACGAATGTCTCGTTTAACTTGTAAATTCTTATCAGTGCGCCTCTTGCCCTTTACCTCCGACCGGCGAAAAAAGAGCTTTTCGGACAAAAAAAAAATCGAATAATATGTCTTCTTTCTATTTTCTATTTCTGACAACATCATAAATTTTGAAATATAAATTCGATAAAAAAAAATTTAAAAGAAAAATATTTTTGCAATGTTTATATGAAATCTTGTGTGAGGAAATATGTGTATACTTATCCACACTCATATACACATACGCAAACACATATGTACACAGTTATGTGTATACGGTTGAAACTACAAAAGCATATAAAGATAAATAGATAGATAGATAGATAAATAGATAATGAAGAGATTGAGATGGCTAGCTGGCTAGATAGATGGATAGAGAGAGAGAGAAGAAACAGAGATAGATAGATAGATAGATAATGATGAGGCTAAGATAGATAGATAGATAATGAAAAGACTGATATATATATATATATATATATTTACCCAAGTCAATGTTTTCATAGCTATATTAATATTAACTGAATAATCTTGGTGAAATTCTCTTTTTATGGTAAATATATCAGGGAATTACATCCATTTTTATAAAAAATATATTTTCTGTTTTTACATTTTTTCATTAGGCTACAATTCTTAGTTTTTTTTTTGTTGGACTACAATTTCAGTGCAGATATGAATGATCACGATAAATCGTCGAAGGCGTGTATTCAAAAGCCATTTGAGCTTGGTTCAACCGGAAGTGCTTTAGCACGTCAGGTTAAATGACGGTTCGATTCTTGTCGGAGAACGCATATTTTCTACGAAATTACCCGAAAATTCAGGCCGGTAAAAATGTAGTTAATACCGTTTAAATAAAAAAAAATTAAGAAAAAAAAGCATTTACTCGAATAAGTTTATCCATAAAAAAAAAAACTATAAGCAGAAAATATATTAAAATATTTGTCGGATTTAATCCATTTCACACACACACACACACACACACATATATATATATATATATATATATATATATATATATATATATATATAAATTAATCGTTATGTGGTTAGAACGTTCGCGTTCTGATGTTATCTGTCTGGGGGAACCATCGATCACTGCGTGCGGCATCTTTGCAAAGTACCTGAAAACCATACCACGGGTTGTCCCAAGCCTTGTGAGTAAAATTGGGTAGACGGAACACTTGGGGGAGCACGAAGTTACAAGTCATCGTGACCGAGGTTTTCAGTTTGTTGGCCTTGTTCAGATTTTTGATCACGCTAGATAACACGCCCTCTCCCAGAAACTCTAAGGTCTGCTCAGCATATTTCCATTATAAACCACAGGTGGCCTCTGGTGGTTGTTGGACAAGCACACATGTGCCTGAGCGAGCGTCTGCAATAGGGATTGGACAGCTATTATATATATATATATATATATATATATATATATATATATATATATACTTGACTCTCCCCTCGATATATATATATATATATATATATATATATATATATATATATATATACATTCGACAGGAAGTATATATATATATATATATATATATATATATATATATATATAATATATATATATATATATATATATATATATATATATTCGACGGGAGAGTCGAGAGTATATATATATATATATATATATATATATATATATATATATATATATATATCGATATATATATATATATATATATATATATATATATATATATATATATATATATATATATATATATAATAGTATAGTATTTATTTATTTTTCATTCTGGATATATAGATATTGCCATTTTTCTTAAGAAAGAAATAAACTCGAATAAAAAACAAGATATTTTAAAGTGGTTGCGTGATGTGGACACAGCGTTGGAAATTGCAATGTTGTTGAATACATCACGAAAACAAAACAGAAATTGAAAGCATTGGCGAGAACAAAAAATGGCTTGAAGAATAACATGAAACGAAATTTGAGAAACTTTAAAATAGGAATAAGTAAAAGAAAATAAATTGAGTATAAAGAAAATAAAATATTTGAAGTTGTTGTTGATGCAGACAAACTACCACCGATAAATAAACATTAAAGAATGAGAATCATAATTTGGACGAAGAAGGATTTGAAAACTGATTAATCAACAATAATTCCCAGTGAATGAAACTATGAGTAGAACGTTTAGAAATAAAAAATAATATTTAATATCAGTTCTCTTATATGGCAATGAATGCTGGACAGTCTCTTCTCAGATGAAGTAGAGACTTGATGCAATATAACTGGATCTGCAGAAGATTGCTAAGAATACCATGCATCGAAAATGTGAGCAACAACTAAAATGGGAAAAGAGAACATTTGTTCTTAACAACAGGAAGAAATGGTTGAAATGTCAAGGGTACATAATGAAGAAATAGGGCTTGGAAATTTTGATACTCACAGAGCAGATCGACGGCAGCTGGAGGAGCGGAAAACAACGCATTATCTAACTAGCGAGATTGACTGAATGGATGGTGACTCAGGTTTGGCGAATAGACAATATTTATTGGAGGTTACAAAGAACAGGATGTTTCAGAGAGCTATAATGACCAACCTCCTGAAGAGACACAGCTCATAGAAGAAGAAGAAGAAGAAGAAGAAGAAGAAGCAAGAAGAAGAAGAAGAAGAAGAAGAAGAAGAATTATTAATAATAATAATAATAATAATTCTTAGTGATGAGTTTTGAGCTACATTGGATGAACCTGAAGTCTGGGCTCCACGATGAGCACTTCATGGAAATAGTTAAACACCAAGACATCGAAGGCAATAGAATAGGGATACAAAAATGTTCTGAGCTAGTAAGCAATGCAATTAGTTGACCGTTTAAAGATGATCTTAGTATCAAGATAGAGCAAACATTTTTTAGTTGTACAGGTCGCAGTGGAGAAGCTTGACGTTAAAGAAAATATTGATGCGAGACAAAACGTATTCACATTCCACAAATTTGACAGTTTCCTTTATAGAATCCTCAATGTTTGTCTACTCAACCCTTTAAAAATAGACTCTTCTATAAGAATTAGCTTTGACCAATCAACACCACACATTGTGAAACTCGGCTTGTTATTGGTCGAGACGACCCTAGAATGTGTATCCATGGGGAAAAATCTGTTTTTCCGACAGGTCGTTGGAGCCTACTTTGGTTTCCCAAAACAAATAAAAGGACGAATTTCAGTCCAATTCACCAGTCAGATCTTCATTCCTAGAGAGATGCCAAACTGACCCACGCAAGTCAAAACTCTGACCAACCAGAATTTTGCCGCGCAAAATGTCTGACTCAACAATACACAAGCACACTCTATCCCTCTCAGGAACTATATCCAAACATCACTTACGATACTTTAAAAAGTGAAATTTTTTTCTCACTACTTAATAAGTATTAGTAAACAAACAATCAAATTCTCACACAACTAAAGGGACGTAACTCCTACCAATTATACAAGCAAACTTACGTACACACACTAATAACTGAATTAGCACAAAGGACAATTTAGTACGTAACTGGACACTTAGTTTAACTTTATGAACAAATCTGAATAGCAATTGCAAACACCATCAAACATTCACAATAATATTCTACGCAGCCAAATACATCTATTCTCATTTATGTATTAAAGTTCAACTCAATTGTTTTCTCAAATTGTATATTAATTGTACATAAATGCATGTTGTTTTATTGAAATCTCATAATCGGTGTTTCTTAATCAATTGCCTCGTGATTGATTCGTTTTTGCATATCTATATTCTATAGTGTTGCGGATTAATATGGTGAACATGCCCGTAAACAAACCATCTTAATATAAAAACCTTCTAATACCAAATTCAAACTCATAGCAATCCCAAGACCTTCTTCTTTGTTATCTTATATTTCTACAGCATGTGTGCGATCACGGCTCTCCACAACTTCCTATCTTTCGTAGCTCTTTGTAAGCATTTTTTTTACCATACCTTCCTCTTGCCTTCAATATACCAAGCGACTGCCAAATTCTCCAAGACCTCTTTCATCAGATGTCGTAGATATTTCAACTGTCCTAATTTTAATTATGAACTTCTCTTTGTTTTCATTTTCCTTAAAACTTCCATGTTGCATGTTCAGGTCATGGTATTCTCAGCATCCTTCGGTAGAACCATATTTCTGTTCCCTCAAGTCTCTTCTCCATTTGTGAGGAAACTGCCCAGCACCAAATGCCAGTTTAGTAGAACCGATATTAAAGAACGTTTAAGTACTGTTTACTTTGTTTCTAACCAGATTTTCCTGCTTCGTAATACCTTGCTTAGCTTTTTGAAGTCATCTTTCGTTATCTTAATGCGTCTATTTAATCATCAAGAAGTAAATTTTGTATTAATTTTGAAGTCTTAAATTTTCTTTTTCTCGGTGCCTTGTCCATTCTGGACGTGGGAGATCATAACGCCACAATTCTCTGTCGTTCTAACCACTTAGTAAATTTTTCTTTTCGGTATAACTTCTAATTTCTGCTGTGCCAACTATTCACACAAGCTCGTCAGGCAGGTTGCTCTCGGCTGTCCCTCATGACCTCAATATGGCCTGCCAATGTTAATCTTTATGTACCCTAAATATCAACCGGTTTTTTTTTCTGATTTTAAGTAGGTGTCCTTTTTGTTTCCATTTACTCTAAATCTTTATTTTCCTGAGATGCCCAGTCCATAGTATTCTCATCATCCTTCTGTAGCACCACATTTCTGTTTTCCCAACTCTCTTACGTAATTTGTGATGAGATTGTCCAGCAATCACTGCCATATCATAATAGTTTTATATTCGTTTCCTTTCTTCTAACATAATTGTTCTGTAGTGAATATTCTTTAAATTATTTTACTAAAGGAAATCGTAAAGAAATGTGAGTTTTAATAAAGTAAAAATATCCATTAATTAAGGTTTTAATCCTTAATAAATTACTTTTATTGGGTTATAAATTACTTTTATTCATTTTTTTGTTTTTATTTTTTTTGTGCTGAGTTGTCCACGGTGTTGAGTCGGCGGTGTTGAGTCGGCAGTGTTGAGTCGGCGGTTTTGAGTCGACGGTGTTGAGTTGTCCTACACCCTGAGGAAACGTTTAATATTTCCATGATGACGATTACTTGTGATTTGCATCAATCCTCGGCATCATCCCGAGTACTATAAACTATATAATTCTTCTTTGTTTTGCGAAGTTGACACATTTGCTACAATGCAGACAATATTAAAAGTGTTGCCTCTCCGTTCCACTATATCAGGCTTTCCAAACATTTTTTGTGTAATCCCACACTTTCACATGGACATTTTTTCCACCACCCACCTGTATAGTAAATATTCAAACGCATGCAGTGATGAGTAAATTATATTTTGACATGCACTTTTCTTGCTTTGATAAGTTCAAGATGGTCAATGAGATTAAAAAAATAAAACAATTTTATATT